CACTGATCCCAATATCAACCAAGTCACCAAGTATGGCAACCTAATCCATCACAACTAACAGCATATTTTGACTTGTTACTGGGGAACTGATCCACCAAGATATATCAAGAAGATTATACTATTTTCCCAGTGTGTTCAAACAGTATACATTCCCTCCAATTTAGTCAGCACAATGGAGCACAAACTCATGGCTACCAAAATTTGGTAGGACAAAAAAATTCTGAAATATCCAAAGCCTTAAATGCTAATGACATTTTAACTGTGATATTTGTTCTGCACCCAACACACTTGATTAAAGAACCTATTCTCCTTTTTCTGTGAACCAATAGCGAAGATCATTATCAAAAATCGAATTAATATCCTTCACAAATTAAGGTTGTAAGATCAGAGTTAACACTTTAATACTAGATTTACGATTTGCACCTTGGTTTTAATCTATTTATACTTTCGTAAGTTAATATTTCTTGTTAATAAAATGCCACACATTTAAGCTGGTGAAATCCGAAACTGGCTAGTAACTTTTAAGGCTTCCTAGCCCACCTGGCCAGCAATATTTGGAGACTATTTCCCACACTGCTGCCATCTGTTCCTGACAGAGTTGTTCTGTGTTTGATCTTGATATCCTGTTCCCTGCCGGTGAGGGAACTCTTGATGGTAACTCTCATCCCTTTACCCACGTTCTATAACATATCAGGTAATTATTCGGAAAACATTTGGATTTTCATCGGTGTAAGTATATGCAAAACAATCATTACATTTACCTAAAATCCTCACCATATAACTGTTGATGTTATTTCTCTAATAAACATTTTTGAAAAGAATTCAGTCTTTAATACTATTTTCCTATCAAAATGTTTCATCTGGATAAAATATTCAATTTCCTGCAAACTCATCAGCCTGAAAAAAAAATGAAGACATACCTTTTTAAGAAAACATACAGTGTCTAACTTTTCATTCTTCAGTTGTTTGGAGCGCTACTGAGCAGTGCTTTTGGACTGGAATTGGCGCTATATATAAATGTTTTTATGATGATGATGATGATGATGATGATGATGATGATGATGATGATGGTGATTATGATGGAAAAAAGTAGTTACTTGTACAAAAACACAGATGATGCTTTCCCTAGTGTGTGTGTGCAACTGTCCGCCATTGATAAAAGAAATACCATCTTCGGTCACTGTAGGGAGCATTTCAAAAACTAAATTGTGTATTTCCAATGCAGAATGAACCCACCTGTGAAAAAAACTGTTTATGTTAAATGGTTAAGATTAACAAATATCAACTCAAATCCGCACTTGAATTTGTCTCATTTCAAAGAAGAAAGATTTTTTCATTGAACTAAATATTTGGAATGAAACAAGCCCTTCAAGCCTTGAGCATTTCATGAGGGGATCAATTCCATCCAATGTACACAGCAAGTGTTTTGCCCAATGGAGAAGTCGGCTAAACTGTCTTTTTCTGGAGCTAATCACGGAGATATTTATACTCTTCGCCTAGAGATAGTCTATCTCCCACTAACAGTAGCCAGACCTAGTAGAACCTCGCACAATAGCATTCTAAATCTGGCCCGTCATGCACAACGATCAACCACTAACCAGCTATTTCAGAAATATTCAACTTATCCTGCCTGCTGAACTTTTTAAACACAGACAAAATGGGTGTCAGTTTTGTTGACATAAACCCTGTGATCGTTTCACAAGTAACATTACTGTAGTGAGATGTTCATTAAAATCTCAATCTTATCAAGTGATGGGGAAATTGGCCGTACCTGATTGGACAGATTACATATCATGTAAGGTTGGTTTACCCAGTTGAGTCACCAGAACATGTATATGAAGATTTGTGGCATGTGTTTTGAGCCAGAAACATGGAGAATACCGTACATCCTGGAAATGTAGCCCTGGCTCAAGTGGTATAACAGTGAGTGAGTTTAGTTTTATGCTGCTTTCAGCAATATTCCAGCAACATCACGACGAGGGACACCAGAAATGGACTTCACACATTGTACCCACATGGGGAATCAAACTCGGGTCATCGGCGTGATGAGCGAACGCTTTCACCACAAGGTTACCCCACTGCCCGAAGTTGTTTAACAACAGGAAAATATGGTATTGTATAGTGATATGAGGACCATGATATAATACATCATCTTACATACCTTCTATTGAAATACATACAATACATTTTTATTTGGCTTAAAACAAATCTTAACAAAAATTGTCCAACAAGCAGCTTTCAGATTCTCCAGTTCCCGGTTCGCTGAAACTACCATAACATTAACATATTTCACCTAATGAATGTGATAGGTAAGATGTTCGATACCAAAATTCACATATACAAAACTAACGAAAGTTGAGGACAGTCTCATTGCTTCATATTACTGTAGTTAAGTGGCGCTGGGGTAGCCTAGTGGTTAAAGCGTTGGCTCGTCACTCCTAAGACCCAGGTTCAAATCCCCACATAAGTACAATGTGTGAAGCCCATTTCTGGTGTCCCCTGCCGTGATGTTGCTGGAATATTGCTAAAAGTGGCGTAAAACCCAAACTCAGTCAGTCAGTCAGTTACTGTAGTTAATCTATCATTCGTGACACCTCTTACATCTAGTATGGGTTTCTGGGGACCAATTCTAACATGGAAACCCCAGGGAGTATGCTAATCAAATCACCACGTCTCAGATCATGGTGCAGGAAAAGTCCAGTGTGTCTGGTGAAAAACTTGGTCAAAGCAACATTTCTACATTCCAGATACAGAACCGATACAGACAGATGTAGACACACACACAGATGTAGACACACACAGATGTAGACACACACACAGATGTAGACACACACACAGATGTAGACACACACACACATGTAGACACAGACAGATGTAGACACACACACAGATGTAGACACACATACAGACAATGTCAATATCTTGTGGACTGGTCATATTGGCTTGGTAGTCATGTTATATGTGAAAAAAACAGTATTTGGAAACAAAACAACTCATCCATCCAGATTTTTACTAGTTTTTGAAACAGATCACAGGACATGTTTATCCCAGTGTACCCATATGCAGAAATGAACCTGGGCTTTGACATGATGAACAAACACTTTAACCACAAGGCTACCCGACTTAAACAACATATCCTCTGTATGAAACAAAGGCATGTTTCTTGTTCAATGACACCAATCATTCTTATTGTTCAAATAGTAATTCATTGCCATGTGATGTAACCCTTTATGAAACAGTGCTGACACTTTCCCTGGTATTAGCATATGGCCATGCCTCCCATTTACAAGTCCCTAACATGCACATGCAATTTAACAATAAAACCTTTAAAAAAAATTGGAAACTGACAGTTTCCAAATTAGATAATTCGAAATGAAGCTAGATAATAAACTAACATGAAAGCGCCATTAAACTCTCTACAACTAATTTCTTGAAATGAAAATAATTAAAATTCAGTTATCTTTTTCTAGGAACATGGGCTATATCTAATCCAACATTGATGACTCATCGTTTGTCACAAGAATTCCCCATAATCACCAAGTATGCCCTTGTTTTGGGACGGTCAACAAATGGAAACGCCAATTTAGAAAAATAATTTAATAAGTGAACAAAACTGTGCAGAGAGGTGGCTCGTTGGAAGTCCATCGCTGAAGCATAGCCAGTTTAGAGAAAGGGTAAGGGGTAAGGATGTGCTCGGGACAAAGAGAGATGTTATCAGTCCATTTTATTACATCATAGCAGGGATTAACCTTCTCAGCCATGCTATAACAATGGTCAGGCCCACAGGCTAAGCTAGCCAGGCCTTGGCCAACATTAAAGCCCTCTTGATAAATGCCATATAGATTTACTGCAGAAATGTGATGATTTCATTGCAGTCTCTTTGCCTCAGTGACTGTCAAAGCCATTAAAACTTGTGTTTTCAGAATCTGCAAGGTTATCACTGCCTAATAACTTTTTTTCTATTTCCATGGTAACAGAATTAAAATGTTATAAAGCATGTCGTAGTTTTAGAATTCATAGCTTATTCAAACTAAAATAATTGAATCAGGAAATGCTTTAATAGTAGCCTGGACCATTGATTCAACCAATTATCAGACACAATTTCAATTAATGTTGATTTTTAGAATGCAAATAATCATATGAAAGTTTCCATTTTTTATTCAATTTATGCATGAAACAATATTTTATGGTTGTTTTATTGTCTATTACTACACTGATTAACTACACTGCCCATAAAATGTGTCAGATAGTTCAAAAACTTAATCACACGATATGAACAGAAATGTCTCGCAAGTTAAAGTTATTAATACGCGGTCATGATTTTATATCCAAGCTACATGCAGTTTATTGTATCTAACAATCAGCCTGGGTCCTCGTTGGGCCAGAGATTTTCATAGATGAATTGTGTGCACCCATCCCTCACTGCCCGCCTTCTCGTTAGCAGCAGGCGAACCCTTCGCGCGGACTGGCGCCGTATTAAAGGGGTGACGGGGCTACAATGAGAATATATAACCCGTGGAAACAAAGACGGTTGCTTGCTATAGAGGGGTTTACTCGTGCCTTAATATGTACTGTACTATATGATTGAGAGAAAAAAAACTTGGACTGCGAAATACGCGCTGTGTGTTGCCGTAGTAAACTAGGATATAAAGTGCCTTCACGTTGATCTGTCAATATTTAATCCTCAGCCAAGGTTCGCGCCTTGTGCTGTTTTCGCGGCTGAAGGAAGCTTGCCCGCGAGACGAGCGGCCAAAATGAGGTCACATTTCATGTGAAATCGATAACAAAATCTTCTGTTATTTTCTACAGCAGAGAGGTACTTTGTAGTCATCGCCACCTAAATATTTCACTGACACTGGCTGGGCAAAAAACAATTCCTGTAAACAAGAAAGGGCTACGAGCCGTCTGCTAGCCCTCATTCTAAAATCATGTTTCGTCACTTAAAATGGACGTTAACGCATGCAATCTTTTTTGTATGTGTAGATATATCATGTACTTACATGTCTGTGTCCTTTTACTTTGAGATTCACTCAACAGCAAGGTAAAAATCCAAAAAAAGCTGGCAGATTGTAGGATCCACTCATGGCCCTGCGCCATGATGGGTTACTACTCAACAAACCACTTCCGGTAACGGCAGCGCCCTCTGTAAACAAAGGTATCACGTGCAATAATTGTCAATTGTCCTGTTATCATGTAAGTATAGAAAACATCAATGGCATCTTGAACTGAAATCAGTATGAGGCCATGATACGAAACAATGAAATATACATCCCGAGATACACCGCTACACCGAACGTCTATGAACAATCGATCGACGCTCCGTTCAGAAACGGTTATAGCTTTAGTGTCGTCAACGAATCTGTCACAATGCCAGGCAAGGCGTGTAGCGGTTTCTGACCACAGAATTCAATGTTAGGGGTCATCTCATTAATCTATATACAATCGACATGACCGCGAGACACGAGCCCGGTTTATCCAAGCTTATAAGATGTTACAGTTTCTGTACCTACACCACGGCGTCGTGCGAGCTCATGAGGGATGTTGGAATAGGCTGTGCCGGAGCCTTCCTTGCTGTCCGTCAAACCACGGCGTATGTGGGTGGGCCTTATTTCACACAAACCTACTGGCGCACAATTACATAATGAAAAGATAAATAAGACATGAAGTGTAATGGATTATTCGGCATGGGTGAAACATTTTGTTATGGCCTGTCTGCGTTTGTTGTGAAGATAAAATGTGCAACATTTGATACAAAACACGACTGAAGGCTGCATCATAACAATCTACACTGGGTGTAAAATATTGTTACAACATGCCTGCATTATTGTTTAGATATTTAGTGCAACATTTCTTACAAAACACGAGTGAAGGCTTCATCGTAACAAACTACATGTGGTGTAAACTGTTGTTATCGTCTGTCTACATTGCACTTTAGAAAACATGACTGAAGGCTTCATCGTAGCAAAGGACGAATATTGTTATAACACGTTTGCATTGTTGTTTAAATATGTCGTGCAACATTTAATGCAAACTGCGTGAAGGCTTCATCGTAACAAACTACATGGGGTCAGAATATTGTTATAACATGCCTGCATTGTTGTTTAGATATTTAATGGAACATTTTCTACAAAACACGACTGAAGGCTTCGTCGTAACAAACAGCATGGGGTCAAAATATTGTAATAACATGCCCGCGTTGTTGTTTAGATATTTAATGGAACATTTTATACAAAACAGGAGTGATCGCTTCATCGTAACAACTGCACGGGGTCAAAATATTGTTATAACATGCTTGCGTAGTTAGATAAATCGGGCAACAATTAATACCAACTATGACATATAACATATATTGGAAAGTTGCCTCGGGGAAACTTTTTAAAAGCGAGCTAAACGGTAATGTCAACGTGTAATGTAAATTAAGCATGTTCCAAACAAGCGAATGTACGTATGCAAAGAGAAATTGGAAATTAAACATGTGCCGTTTCGTGCCTGTCCGTTTACAAACTCTTCTGTTCCTCTCAACATTGGATATAAACTGTTTATTCACATAATAATTATTACTGGGAGGGCTACATGTGACGCTTTTTATTATTCAAATTAAACACCCCCACGTTATACACATCTTCTGGTCGGGTGAACACAGGAGGGGGAGTTCTGTAGTCGACTGATTCACCTGAGTGAACGCCAGGTACAACCCACCTGTCTCCAGAGCGCCGCGTCATTTCACACCTCTCCGCCTCGATGTGTATCAAGTGGACATCACAAGGTAAGAGAGGGCTATAAACTATTGTCTCGCCACCCGTAATGTTTAGTGTCGTGTTCCGGGGAGCTATGGATTTACTTGGGCAGTTAATTAGATAGGCATATTTGTTTTATTTATTACCAGACTTAGGTATAATGTTCGTGCGTGAAGTAGCGAGCTGTTTAAAAGGACCCGCCAGCAAGGAGAAGTCCATGGGTATGTTTATGGGTACGCTCAACCGTTCAATCTCAATAGACATCATATCATATTATATCTCATCACAATTATATCATGTATCATATCATATCACATCACTTCATTTTACATCATAATAAGGAAATATACAATCCTTTTATAAATAATTATACCGATATAACACATCCCCATTTTTTAAACATGCATGTTGACCGATATAACACATCCCCATTTTTTAAACATGCATGTTGACCATGTTCCTTATTTATTCATTTATTTCCGATATTGCTATATCTTTTTTCATCGAAAATGTTATCAGTTGACTGAAATTAGATAAAGAAAAGTAAATCGTTCCTAAACTTGTATGCATTCATTAAATTTATTTGTTCAACACACAATTTAGTAGCTGTTTTCCCCCATTTCCACAACGCAGACACATATTCAACAAACCCTACCTGACAGTGCAGTACCTTCTATATCATATACACTGTTGCATAGTAGAAGTGCTGGAGGATTTATAGTCTGTCTGGAGAGAGCATTTATTTTAAATGTATGCGTACTCCTTCCCGCCTTTGTGTGCATCAAATGTTCCATGAGTTAACACACAGACACAAGCACACACACTCGCGCGCGCACACACTTTATACATACACATACATACACATTCATACTTATTTGCATAAATATTAAGCTTAAATTGTTTCCCCCATAAACCTTATAAATGACTTTGTCTAACTGAGACATATACTAACGCTTAGTCTCTGAATATATATAATTTTGATAATAATAAATAACCCCTTTAAATTGAAAAGGAGCCCCAGTGAGATGGGAGATCCTAAACTTGAGGAAATCTAGACTTGCTTCATTTAGGGCTTTAGTATTTCAGGGAGGGCGAGGCTTTAGGGAAAATAATGTCGTTCAGGGACTGTGGGACAGACTAACTGAGGCATTGCGCTTCAGTGATTAAAGTAACCATGGACTGCTGAACTCACCTAAATATTTATTGTTTATAGACTATCAGCGTGGGTTTAGTGAATTATCTACACCCAACTGGCCTGGACTACCACTGAACACGAGTCTACTACCACTGAATACGTCACGGATATATTTGAACACTTTTGATTATCTACCAATTTAACTACTAATCGTCTAATTTCATGCATCCGTTTGGTGACACTGGCTGACTGACTGAGTTTGGTTTTACGCCGCTTTTAGCAATATTCCAGCAACATCACGGCGGGGGACACCAGAAATGGGCTTCACACATTGTACCCATGTGGGGATTCGAACCCGGGGCTTCGGCGTGACGAGCCAACGCTTTAACCACTAGGCTACCCCACCGCCCCTCGTTTGGCGACAAACCACTACCCCGTTTGTATATGTGTGTAATGGACAAGAGGTCACACCTTGTCCTTTCCGATATGTCGGGATTAACTGAACGGTACCAACTGAACACCGTGCAGTGGAATTAACTGAAGCGAAGTATCAGTCTGACTTTCCTTTGAAAATAAAACAACAACAAAAACTGCATGTGATTTGCTTACCTGATATATTCAGCGGCACCGATTACGTCACGACCCACACATTCTCACGTGCTGCGCATGAAGTTTACTCTCGTAATGTGTGCACAATGTCGGCGGTGGAGATCTGCCTTGTTTAAAACTAAATACGAGTTATTCCGGAAAGGAGCTGTTAAACTCAACTGATTTTAGATATTGGCAAATATTCAAGAAATCAGCAACACTGCACTGTATTGCATGGGTACCAAGTACGACTGGTACCATGCTATATTTGGGGTTGGTTACCATGCTTCATGTTTGGATGAACTGTTATATACCTAATGGGAAACGAGTCATTATACGCCTAGGGTTATTATCTGTTATACACCTAGGTTGGGCACGCATTTTAATCTAGTGTTGCTACCCGTTTTACACCTAGGGTTTGTACACCTGGGTTGATACCCGTTTTACACCTAGTGTTTGTACCGTTTTACACCTAGGTCTGGTGTCCGGTTAAAGCTTCGTGTTTGAACACGTTTTACACCAAGTGTTGGTGCATGTGTTACATCGATCTAGGGTTGGTGCCCGTTTTACGCTGGTGTTGATACCCGAAGTTTGGCACCGGTTCTTCACAAAAGGTCGGTGTCCATGTTAGACTTAGGGCTGGTACCAGTGTTGATAAAGTAAGAACCTGTGTTTACACTGAGGGGTGTATGCTTGTTACCCTACGGTATAATATAATAATACCCGGCCGTTACAAACATATCGCACTACGAGTGCACTGCTATACTTGTAGCTAGGTTATGCAATATTCATGCAACCACAGAAATTCGGAAGTCTAGAAATGATATAAAAGAACGATCACTTGTAAGTAACAGACAGGGAATTCACATTACCTAGCAACTGATAATTCTTTTATACGAAGTAGATATGTAAACAAGCCTAACATTGGTTTGCGCAGATACAACCCACACTGCGCTGCAGGCGACGAAGGAAGCCTGCGCGCCTTTACTGATATTTGATGCGCCGACTGCAGGCCAGACTGCATTGTTGAAGGTGGTAATTTCTAGTACATATTCCAGTGGAAATGAATAGTAATTTTCTTAAGTATAGATGCACTTGCAAATATTATCATTTCTAATTTCCACAACGTATATATATTCTGCTCCAAATGAAACCACGTAAGTATCTATGGTCACACATTCTCCCACACATTTGTACAAATACCAAGATAAATCATGTTCTGTTCATATTTGCATCAACAGCCATGGAATAATCTTTGCTGATGTTGACATTACGTCACCAATCGACAATTCCGATTATGAAAGAATATCCGCTTGTCTGATTGCGCACGAAAAATGTTTTACTAAATCTACTCAAACAAATTTTAATTCCTTCCGTGTAAGCGCATAGCCATATTTATTTATGCAATACGTGTATATACACCATAACATGAATTTTGGGTTTCATATACTACCACGTTGAGTATATATTGTATTTAATAATATTATCCAGGGTTTTTTCGCCTTGGTCCTGCCAGGTAATTAAACTATATATTTATGGGTTTATCTGACGCGCATTAACGCGTCAAAACGCTTATGAATTGAGAAAGAACGCTCTATAAGCTCTTCAAGCTTCATGACACACCAAAAGTATGCGTGTTAGAATCATTGGAACAAATTTTAATGAAACA